AAGGCAGATCCTGGGGCCCCACCAATGAGGTGGAAGAGAGGTAGGGGCAGTGTGAGCCTGCACTTAGTGTGCACCTGTCTTGTCTCAGTCCACAATGGACCTGGAAGAGGGTGTGTATTCTGTGTAGGCCAGGCTGCACCTCTGTCGGGTGTCTGGCAGTGGGATCTGGATGCGGCTCTGTGCTCTGTTCTTTCATGTGCCTGCTGGCTCTGCTTCTGCCGCATCCCTGCTGGTTTCTTTTTCTTTTCTTTCCTTCTTTTTTTTTGTTGGTTGTGGGGCTTGAACTCTGGGCCTGGGCACTGTCCCTCAGCTCTTTAGTTCAAGGCTAGCGCTCTACCACTTGAGCCACAGCGCCACTTCTGACTTTTTCTGTTTATGCAGTGCTGAGGAATTGAACCCAGGGCCTTATGCATGCGAGGCAAGCACTCTACCACTGAGCCACCTTCCCAGCCTGCCCCCCTTGCTGGTTTCTCTCTGGACCTTGGTGGCTGACTGTCAATGCCCCTGCGATTCCTGGACCTGATATCTGACAATTTTGGTGTGGACCTGGGGTTCGCAGCCTACAACTGGCTCTGAACTGGTTGTGTTATTTGGGGTCTATGTAGAGCTGCTTAAATCCATGGGTGCCATTTTTTGTCACAGTGGGTCTTTGGTGGTAGAAGGACACTCAGACTGTGTGTGTGTGTGTGTGTGTGTGTGTGTGTGTGTGTGTGTGTGTGTGTGTTGGCCCTTGTACCTGAGGATATAGTCACCTTATACGTGTCCCTGGATATGTGTCATTGGCCATGAGAACAAGATCTGGGAAGGAGTCAGGCCTGAGTCAGCAGGTGCAGGTCCTCCACATCCCCATCTCCTCTCAGTGTTCAGTGGGGCCCCTTGTGCCTTGCCTGTCCTCTGTTCACCTGTGTTGGTGCTTCTCATCTGGGCAGGGGTGTACCCTAGCTCTCCACATGGCATGACCATCTTTCCCCTGGGCCTTGTCCTTTGACCCCTGGCAGCTGGCCCCAGGAGGCTGTTGGATTAGGGGATTGAGTGGCCCCTGGCTTAGTTGGTGGGTGCCAGAGGCCCGTGGTCCTTGACTAGCACTGGGTTTGGGGGATGAGGAAACTGGCTTTCTGTGGAGATCTCAGTCTGGGACAGGGGTGAGTAGGCACCCAAGGTGGGTGGACTTGAGGCTGTGCTGCTGGATGCAGCCCCTCGAGGGCAGGGCTCTGGGGCCCTGGCTTGCTGGGGAAAGGTGTTCTGGCAGGGAGCCCATCCCTGAGGGTTGGGTTCCATCCTTGGAGCGGCGCTGCAGAGTCGGCTCAGCCTTGCCTGGGCTGGGTCTCACCTCTGGCCTGCAGGTGGGGACTGCACAGTAGACAGATGGGGCTTGCAATGTGATCAGCAGGGCTGAGGAAGCAGGGAGATGGAGCAATCGTTTATTTTATACAGACAGTATTTTTAGGCTTAAGTTATTTTGGGCTTGAATTTTAAGATTTAAATAAACCTTTTGAGACTTAAAATTAGCATATCTGATTGTTGAAGAAGTTTTAGGCTTGGGTTGGTTTACAACCCAATTGGCTATCTTCTCAGACTTGAGAGATGGAGAGGGGGAAAGAGAGGAAGGGGAACGGAGGAGGAAGAGGTCAGGGGGAGAAGGGAGGGACCTCCTGCTATTGGTGGAGGCTTTGACACTGACATGTTACCGTTCCTGTCAGATGGCTTTTCTCCACCTCAAAAGCACTGTCAATATGGATGGGGAGGCTCTTCTTGGGATGCAGGGATGTAGCAGTGTACCTGGCTGTGCCTTTTAGGTAGGCTGGTTCTTCTTGATACTACTCCAGTTTGTTTACTAGATAAAATGCCATGTTTTATTTATTTATTTAAGGGAAAATAGATTCTTAAAGATAAACTTGAAAGTATTTTCAAGGAATAATTTGTCCTTTCTCTTTCCCTTTCCTGTACTGGGGCTTGAACTCAGGGCCTCATGTTTATCTGGCTTGCTTTGGCAACTGTTGGCACTCTTGAGGTATGCCTCCAGTTCAGCATTTTGCTGGCTACCTGGAGATAGAATCTTGCAGACTTTTCTGCCTGGGCTGGCTTTAAACTGCGACCCTCCAGGTTTCGGCCTCCTGAGCGACTAGGACTATAGGTGTGAGCCTCTGGCAACTGGCTGTTTCCCAGATGTCTGATGTGAACACGGCTCACTGTGAGAAGCAGTCTGTTAGGCTGACCCAGGCAGCAGGTGTGCAGCTTGTGATGCTGCTCGAGAAGTAGCCAGGCTCCACTTCCCATCTGACTCTCACCCTCTGCCTTTCACATGTGGGTTTGAGCTGGATGCCAGTTTGGGAGACAGATCAGGGTTAGAGTGCAAGTCCAGCCGTGGAGAAAAAAGTTAGACGTCCATCTCAATCAGTAAGCTAGGTGTGCTGCATGCTGTTTGGGAGTCCCAGCTATGTGGGAATCCATAGGCAGAGGTTGATCTGGACCCAGAACATGAGGCCCCACTAGAAAACTAAAGCAGAAGGGGCTGGGGTGTGGCTCAAGTGGTAGGTAGGCTTTTTCTAGGAAGGCTTACCATTTTGTTGCAGCCCCGCTGGCCTGTATTTGCCCAGAAGGTGGTGCTTCATTTTTATATGCTATTTCAGAGTGGAACGTGTCTTATTTCTTCGGATTGGGCCCTCTTTAATGGTGAGTTATCACTTGGGCACACATTTCAGGGTAAATGCTGTCCAGTGGACAGAGGCTCACAGAGTATGTGTCCTCTGGAGTCTCTGGCACGCTCTGAAGCTTGTAGGCTGCTTTTCTCTCTTACTGAATGGAGAGGAGGGTATTGCTGGAATCACCTTCAGAGGAAGGGGCCTGCTCCTTCACGGCTGCTTCCTCTCTGGTGCTCTGGCTCTGTGTGGTCTATGGATGAAGCTGGGCTCCAGAGGCCCTGCAGGTCAGTGCCCCTCCGAGTTCAGCAGTCACTCCCGCCTCCCACCCCGTCCAGTGGGGACAGGGCTTGCACTTGTCATCTGGAGGAAGGCCCAATCATCACTTCCTTTTATAAAACTATTTTTAGCTTTAGTGTTTCCATGACTGCATAGACAAGATTGCATTCTTCATGAGAGGAAATGGGTTTCTGCAGGGATAAGAGTGTCATGGGGCAGGATTTCCTGAGGAATTAGCAGCAGTACTGTCCAGGGTCTTGTGCAACAGTGGGTCCACCTCATGTCCTGAGGAAGGCTGTGGCCACTGGCCTCTTCCGGGTCAAGAGCGCATGGTGCTAGTTTGTTTTGACACAGCTGTGTGTGGAAGTTGTAAGGAAGTATTGAGAAAAGAGAGTTATGTTCCGGTCTGTGTGGTGATCACTTGTGTGGTGCTCAGTTGCTGTCTCTCCCCAGCTGCCAGCACACCGAGTGCTGCCATGGTTTGTGCTTAGTCTGCCCGGTACCATGCTAGCCTCATATTTGAAGCTGGCTGGTCCTCTTCCAGGCTGGGAGGCGGTGCCCAGGAGGAAAGCCGGCTTTAGGATGCAGATAAATGTGTGTGGTGTGGAATATGAATATTCTGATAAATATGCCATACAGTATTTGTACTTGTTGGTGTGAAGTATGTCATAAAATAGACTGAAAACTGGATATGGAACTTGGCATAACTGACAAGGGTAAGAAGGATAGATATAAATCTCAGAACTGCATGGAAAAAATTAAGTGAAAGACACATCAACCTTTGTTTGTTTGAAAACAAGAGAAGGCAAACTGGATGGGCTGAGCAGTGGTAGGGGTGGAGCAGCGTGCTGTGTGTGGTAGTTTTACCGGTAGGGGTGGAGCAGCGTGCTGTGTGTGGTAGTTTTATAGGTAGGTTTGGAGCAGCATGCTGTGTGTGGTAGTTTTACTGGTAGGTTTGGAGCAGCGTGCCGTGTGTGGTAGTTTTACCGGTTGTATGTGGTGGTTAGGAGAGCGTGGCACATGTGATTTAGCAGCAGTGTGACTTTTAGGATGCAGGGTTTGTGTGTGTGCGTGCTTGGGCGTGTGCACATGTTGGTACTGGGGCTTGAACTCAGGGCCTAGGCAATCTCCCTTAGCTTTTTTGCTGAGTCACATATTCACTTCTGGCCCATTTTGCTGTGTGAATTGGAGATAAGAGTCTCACAAACTCTTACCTAGACTGGAAACTGAGCTTTGAACTGCAATCCTCAGATCTCAGCCTCCTGGGTCACCAGGAATACAGGTGTGAGCCACCTTGCTGTGAATGTTTCATCTGAAGACAAAACAAACACAAAGTCTGATCCGGGACAGTATTTGAATCTTCATCCTACATAATCATACACACGTATATACTTAGAACCTGTGAATTAAAGATGTATTTTTCTGTGCTGTATAATGAACCTCCATGCACTGTCTCCAATTGTGTTTCTGTGTGGGATTTGGCATCCATCAGGGAGATCCTCTGTGGTCTCAGGCTGCTGCAGTCAGCTTGTGGCAGGGCTGGTGTCCATTAGGCAGGTCCTGTGTGGGTCTGGACTGCAGTCAGTGTGGGGCAGAGCTGGTTAACTCACCTGGGCTTGTGGAGTGCAGGCTCTGCCTTCAGGCCACTCCAGGCTGTTTCCTGTAGCAGTGTATCTGTGGCCTGTCTCTGCGTGTTCTGTATTGTGTGTGCTCTGTTACACTCATTCTTCTGGAACATTCTAACTGATTCTGTTAGAGTGATGTTATTAGCAACTTGTGCAGAGGGCTTTTGTTGTTTAGGATTTTTCTTTTTTAAGAATTGACCTCTGGAAACAATCCTATTTTAAATATGTTTTGAGAAGAATTTTATGGTGGTTGGAGAAAGCAAAGGCATGTGCTTTTTACCACGTAGCAACAGACACATGCAGGACTGCACCAGCCATGGGCTGAGCCTGAAGTCCTTAGAGGTGGTTTTGCTGTTTCTTTTTGATAAATAGTTAAATAAATAGATAAAAATAACTCTGTTAGCCAAGTATGGGTTGTGATTGTGAGCAGGTGTGACCAGAGCTGCCTGGGAAAAGGCTAGTCACCAGAAACCCAGGTGTAGGCAAGGCAGCATGGCATGGCAGTATAGACATGGCGGTGTAGACATGGCAATGTGGACACGGCAGCGTGGACATGGCAGTGTGAACATGGTGGTGTGGACGTGGCGGTGTGGACGTGGCGGTGTGGATGTGGCGGTGTGGACATGGTAGTGTGGATGTGGCTGTGTGGACATGGTAGTGTGGATGTGATGGTGTAGACAGCGGTGTGGATGTGGCTGTGTGGGCATGGTAGTGTGGATGTGATGGTGTGGTTGTGGCAGTGTGGATGTGGCCGTGTGGACATGGTGGTGTGGATGTAGTGGTGTGGACATGGTGATGTGGCTGTGGCGGTGTGGACAGGGTGGTGTGGAGGTGATGGTGTGGACGTGGCAGTGTGGACATGGTGGTGTGGATGTGATGGTGTGGAAATGGTGGTGTAGACGTGGCGCTGTGGATGTGGTGGTGTGAATGTGGTTCTGTGGATGTGGCTGTGTGGGCATTGTAGTGTGGATG